AAAAAAAAAAAACCCAACCAAACAAACAATATTTGTATGTGTGTGCGGGGGAGGGAGGGGTGGCAGCCCTTCCCAGTGCCACCGAGCAATATTGAGCTGCGTGGAACATGCTAGAGTCGATTTGTAGCATATCTGACCCACGGTGTATGTTTGACACTGGTTGAGTATTATGATTATAATTATAATGTTGAAAACCGCATTGAAACCGCTTGATGTTTTGCCATGTGCGAGGGGCACAAAAACTCAAGGGGACGCAAGAACTCAAAACCATGACAAAGCGCTGCATTAATTGCGTCTCGCTCTCTCAGAGAAATTGGCCAACAACAACAACAACAGTCGAGTTAATTTTAAATAAAAATACAAAAATACATCTGAATGATAATTTTGATCTACCGTCATTAAAATATATGACGTATATAACAGTTTGGTCCACATTAGCAGTTTGGATTGTTCGCATTTTGTTTTGAATCAATTGACTGGGAGCAGTTTCTGTTCTATCTCGTTCGATTCCATGCATCGTGCGTTCTCGTATCATATAGGTGTTATAAACACCGATATCCATTCAACAAGATAATGGACTCTTCTTATAATTTAAGGAAACTGTCAAGAGCTTCATCATACATAACCTGGCAACGCATTCGGCACACAGGGAACTATCTCTATCTCTGTCCCGAATGACTGCCACATTGAAAAATTATTATGCGATTCTATAGGCCTAGGCTAAACATTTATTTTCAGTTTCATTACAAGTGAAAATGGAAGAAGAATATTCTCGAACTAGGCAAAATGTAATATAAGAGTAGGCCCTAGTGCCGCTGCCCTGACAAAATTTCCCTCATAGCACACTGTATGGCGTATGCCCGTCTTCATTAGCCCAGTCGGAACAGAACAGTAGGACATTAAAGGAGCTAAATCGCAAATATTTTGGACCTAGAAATAGGCACAAATGGGTCGCAACACATATAATAATGTAATATGAATTGATATAAACTGTTTTACATTCAATCGTGTCCGTTTTACTGTGAATTGTCATCAGTTATCTTCGGCGAAATACGCTAGAAGTCTGAACTGCAAGTCAATTTCTAGCGTCTGGTTATTCCAGTCAACACCGATATTATTTATTGCGCATGCTCTCCAAATAAGAACATGATATCACCGTTTGACATGACTTGTGGAATATGTCGAGCCTCATTCGTTGAGCACCTTGTTACAAATGGCGCTGAAACGCATTATGGTACACGATTCGTGAACCAATGGTAAAATGTTTATTTTGTCTTAAATATTGGATATCAGAAGCCCATCTTTTCCAGGTAAGATCACAACACCAATGCTGATTTAAATTGCAAAAAAAATTCGTGTTTCCAATGTCGAAGATTTTGGATGATATTGAGTTACGGACTTAGCTACTTTAAACCCCATTTCATTTCATTTCCGGGCCATATTTCCATCATAAAATACTGTTCCCTATGTCCGTTTTCATTTTCCCAGTCGGTGCAGAAAGGTAGGACGTTAAACCCCATTTCATTTCATTTAAGTACAGAAAAGTAAGCGGGGTTGGATTGTCGGATGGTTAGTGCGTGGGCGTTGTATCATAAGGTCTGTCATTGAGTCAACTGGCGTGGTTTTGATTTCCCGGCTCTACGTGAGAAGGAGTAGGGTCGCCTGTCTAATCTCGTGGGTTTTCTCGGGGTCCTCCGGTTTCCTCCCACTGCTAAAGAACCCTAGGCGCAAGCGAATTATTGAAATAAAATTGAACACATATGTTAGTAACAAAATGACCTAGTTTGTGTCGAGTGGACGTTAACAACTCTCTCTCTCTCTTCTCTCTCTCTCTCTACTAGAGGGAAGTCAAAAGTTGGTAAGAGGTCGCGGGCGGGTTCGCTCCCGTTGTCGGCCGAGAATGTTCGTCGGGATTTGTCGCCGTGGTTCGTGTCGAGTGGACGTTACCCCCCCCCCCCTCTCTCTCTCTCTCTCTCACACACACACACACACACACACAGAGAACTAAGGTTAAACACCATTTCATTTCGGTTCATTTCGTTTGATTAAAATACGGTATTACTAGTACGGAGGGGGCATACATACTATATTTATATGAATGAATATATTATTTATAAGTAATTGTATAATTAGCAACCTGCTGACTAACAATTAATACAGTTATTATCTTTGACCTATATTACTAACATACCACCAACAAATACATACAGATTTCTGTCCAATTGACAAAATCAAATGAAACTGGGTTTACCGTCACACTTTTATGCATCTGGGTGGTCTAGTGATTTAACGCGTGTGCGTGAAATAACAAGGTCTGTCATTGAGTCAACTGGCGTGGTTTCGATTCCCCGAGTTGTACGTGAATTTTTTCCGGGTTCTCCGGTTTCCTCCCACAGCTAAAGACCCATACCATACGCACAAGGGAATTATTGAAATTGAACCATATGTTACTCCTGAAATGACCCATCTCTCCCCCTCTCTTTCTCTCTCTCTCTCTCTCTGTCTTGCGCAGTATATCTACATTTAGCTCCACTTGAGAACAGCCACTAAGCTAGTTGATCGACATTTTAATTCCTAAATCGACGATTTTAGTCGAAAAAAAAACCCCACACAGTATACTTCGCGAATTTTGAGAAGTCAGTATCTTTTTCGATACCATTAAATATAAAAGGTTTATTAGTCTTTTTGTGTAAGACATTGTGTGAAACGGAGTAGAACCGCATTGCAAATAGTATATTAATTTTTATATATGGTGGCCATTCGGGGCAGAGGTCTATTCGTGAAGTAGATAGATCTCTGTGTGCAGAATGCGGCGATTATAGACCAAGTATGGTTCTAACACTGGGGGGATAAAGACCTGTTAAAAGAATTATCTTAACAATTAATCAGACAAAGAATCGACATATGTTAATGATAGCTGTTACGTCAGACTAATCAGTACCATCTTGAGTCAGCACTTACTGCATTTACCTTTGCGTCGTATGTCGTATACTGCTCATTAGAGAGAGAGAGAGAGAGAGAGAGAGAGAGGGGGAAGACTTTAGCTGTGTAAGGAAACCGGAGACAACCCACGTAGGCCATTTCGGGCCTAACATATGGTTCTATTTTATATCAACAATTCGCTTGCGTGTAGGTGTCTTTAGCAATTGGAGGAAATCGGAGGATCCGGAGAAAACCCATGAGTTGGACAGGCGACCTTACCCCTTGGAATTGAAACCACGCCAGTTGACTCAATGACAGATCTGATGATACAACGCACACGCGCTAACCATTCGGCCACCCACCCCCCCCCCCCTCCGTTGGGGGGCGAGAAAGTACCCCAAGACTTCCATGACAGCCTTCTCTGGTGGAGGACAGAGAGTCTGGCAAGGAAAAACGTCTAACCTTTCGGAAGGGAGAAAAAAAACACCTGGCCTAAGGAAGACGGGCATATCGAATTCCAACTGTCTAGTGTACACGAGGCCTCGGTTTTTCGTCCCATCCGAACGACTAATCGCTGTCATTGCCACTCCTGTCAATCCTAACACCTGTCTTTAATGACGTCAATACTATTAATAGCACATGGTATATTCCAATCTGTTTCACAGAGTATAAGAAAGTCTTCCAATATCTCTGTAAAAGATGACTACCTTCAACACAGTCATGACGTCATATCGCCCGGCGTCAATCATTGGCTTTACATAAGACGTTACTGATTTGAGCAGAATGGCGCCTTTTACTCATTTTAATACCCACTTACACTAAAATAGGAAATAATTTTTACCTACTAATACTTCAAACGACTTTATTTATTTTTATAATACTTAAAAAAAAATGTTTTAGAATTTAATTTGTCGGTGGAAAAAAGTTAATATGTGGGGCTCATTAAGCCGCATCGATGTCATCCTTATCAGTGATTGTCGCGACCTAGCGAATATTCACTGCTGATCAGTGTGGGTATATTCGTGTCAAATACAATATTTAGTTAGTAGACAAAACAATATATATGAACATCTGTGGAGACGTAATCAATAAACGCAGAATTATAATTGGTATTCACTTATTGAAATAATATTAATTGTTTCTATATTTAGAGCGCCTCGCTACGCTCTACTACATATTAAGGTGAAAGGTTGTTAATATTACAATATTAGATAATTAAAATTAATTTGTTTGACCCCAGGCGTTTAAACGTCATATTCTTGTACGAGACGAGTCTCGCCGTAGGTGGATGGGGACGTTAAGCATTTCCGGGATGCGGGGTTGGGTGGCCGAATGGTTAGCATGTGCATGTTGTATCATAAGGTCTGTCACTGAGTCAACTGGCGTGGTTTCGATTCCCCGGTTGTACGTAACAAGGAGTAGGGTCGCCTGTTCAACCTCGTGGGTTTCTCCGGGACCCCCCGGTTTCCTCCCACTGCTAAAAGACCCCTACGCGCAAGCGAATTATTGAAATAAAAATTGAATCATGTCGAGTGGACGTTAAACCCCATTTCTCTCTCTCTCTCGCTCTTTCACACAATGTTTTCGTGCCCAGAGGGAGAGAGCCTTCCCGAATCCTCCTTTGCCCCATTGCTTCAAATCACTTTTAAAAAGAATATTCTGTGATTTTTATCTATATCGTAGACTCGGCTCTCTTTAATTTATTTCCAAACAATCATTTCACCATAAAATTTCAAATTTGTACCATTTTATTTTTACCGTTTTTCTTAATTGAAATATCTTCATAATCTTCATTTAATTAGATTAACTCTTATTCTGACATGCAAGTCAAGTGTTGTTCATCCAGGTTCTATATGTACAAGACAAAAACTAATTAATTACTCCACGTTATTGTTAATTAATTAATAAATAAAAGGTCGAACGCTAATTAAAAGGACCAGTGTTCGAGGCTGTCGCTGTCGCTTGACAACTGTGACTACTTGGACACCATTCTACTCAAAACCGCCTGTTAATTGCCAGAAGCTATGGAACCTAATTTAACCACCTGTTCCCCCTCTTTTCTATTGCAGGCATGGACTGTTCCATTGATCGTTACACGGGAATAGAGATGGCTTACCGAGTGTTAGGTGCCAATCGTAGCGAATGTAAAGTTACACGCTAGCCTTCTCGTTATAAAACTAGGAATACTGAAGCTAGCTGTACAACAATTAAACACGAAATATTGGATAAAACTACGTTAAAAAACATTCGTTACGCACAAAGGATTTATATTATATCAGCCATTCTAGACCATAGAAATAAGGTAAGTGGCCTTTTTTTTTAGCTTTACTTTATGGAATGGGATTTCTGTATTATTCATTTCGTGTCGATGTTCGCGTACACTTCTGCTGAGGCCGTCTGTTAGTCTATGACAGACGTGAGATCGTTCGAGCTGCCTTCCGCATGAAGAATTGTCATCTTAGAATTCACGTCACAGTTCTTTTATGCACTGGCATGCACGAGATGTCTTTCGGTCGTCAGCCTGCGCCATAATTCTCCAACACTTTATTTAGCCTACTTATTATAATAGCCTACTCCTTAAACCTATTGGCACCGAGAGCGTGCTGTATGGTCGTCCATGTTATAAGCTGGAACAGGCAACATGCTCCACAGAATTCCATACAATAATATAATAATGTAATCGACTGCATTGTGTGTTATGGCTGCGTCACAGAAGAGGTGAATGGCCATTCCAAGAACGGCTAGGGGACATTTTTATTTTTACGCGGGAAAATGCAGTGACGTTTTTGCCTGAAATATTCAGGGATATTATAAGGAGGGAAATGTATGTGACTAAACTGACCAATTTCACGAGAATAAATTATTAACAGTCTATGTTCGTAATTTTTAATTAACTGCGACAGGATCAATTGAAGAGATATTGATGAAATTAGACCGTCTACCGGTACACAGGACGGGATTAACTAGCAAGCAAGATAGGCACGTGCTTAGGGCATCATGGTAATGGGGGCACCATCACAAAATGTCTGCCAAATTTAAAATATTTAATTAAAAAATTAATTAATAACTTTCAATACGTTTTTCATTGTTTTTGTCTGTTCATACTGTTACCTGTTTTGTGGCAATTAATAATGACGTGTATAAAATCACAGAAAAACTCTAATCAGGTGCTTGACGTTTGTTTATGCTTTATTATTGTTTATTTTTTTAATTACATATATATGGGGGCACTAAAATCTTTTAAGTGCTTATAGGGCCCCTGTGGGTTTTAAAGGGCCAATCCCGATAATATGTTGAAGAATAAAACTGCTTAATTTTGTGTTAAAATCCCTTAAAATCCTCTACCAAAGGGCCAAGCAACTAACTCAATATTTGTGATTCGTTTTCAAACAACTTAAAACCTGTCGGTCTTTGTCTGGAAATGGAGACCGGTGTACCAAACTATATTATGTGTTTTATGGATAAACCAGACTTTTACTTTATAAAAATAATGTGTAGGTGAAATTTACCTTTCGTTAGCAAGTACAGCACATGGGTCATTCATTGTATAGACCTCTAAGGGAATAGGAATCAATTATCAGGTCACCCAACGAAAAAATGACCAGAAATCTTAAAAGGGTTACGTGTCCGGATAAGCATTTATGATGTTCTTGTCCAAACGACTAAATATTGTGAGGTGAATTTTTGAGACAAAGTAAACACACCATTCCTCTATATTTTGGGCGCTTAAATTTCAAATGTACTCAGACTTTTATTTTTGAGACTCTGTTCAAATCGAGATAGTCCCTTTAATCCAGCCCTGCGTCTTCACCAACCTGGGTGGATTAAAGCCTCTTCCATTTTTGTTGCTATGGTTTTAGAGGAATAAAAACGTGTGTTATATAAAAGTGAATGTCAGATCAAGATCCTGTGTGCATTGTACAGTATAAAATCAGAATTTTGGATTAACTGCAGATTTCCCGATTGTACGTGACAAGGAGTAGGTTCGCCTGTACAACCTCGTGGGTTTTCTGCGGGTCTCCGGTTCCCTTCCACTGCTAAAGAACCCTACGCGCAAACGAATTATTGAAAAAAAAATTGAACCGTATGTTAGTTCCGAAATAACCTAGTTTGTGTCGAGTGGACGTTGTGTCGTTCAAAATTTCATTAAACTTGTCTCAACTACACTAGGATCTGGAAGAGTTGTTATATAACGCACGTTCTGGATGATGTGAGAGATTAGCCAATGAAACAGACTGCTACGGCAAGTTTTTGGCGTGAGGTGCCTGGAACTGTGGGTAACCCACTAGAAACAACAATGCTGATTGGTTAATCAAATGTCTGACATCATAGGGTCAAAAGCCGCTCGTATGACCTCTGACGCGACCTTCCACTACAACCGATCAGATCTTCATGTAGTGTAGGCCATCGAAAATATAAAAAAAATGAAACGAAATATACATGTAGATCTGTTTTTTGATCAGAGGGGGGGGGGGGGTGAATGGCGGATTGGTTAGCATATATGGTCCGTCATTGAGTCAACTGGCATGGTTTTGATTCTGGGTTGTACGTGACAAGGAGTGGGGGTTTTCTCCAGGTGCCTCGGTTTCCTCTCACTGCTAAAGACCCCTACATGCAAGCGAATTGTTGAAATAAAATTGAACCATACATGTATGTTAAACCCCATTTCTCCTTCTCTTTTTTAATCCGATTGATTTTCAGCAGTATTGATATGGGCCTATAATTGAACATGTTGAGGTAGATGGTAAAATCTTCTGCTTGTGTGGTCATGATCTATCTTTAAGCATCTTAGATGTACATAGTTATTTCCCACGAGTCAAATTTTTGTAATATAGGAGATAGCATGTCTTTTGAGTTACCGAATTAACCCAAGTACTAACAGATTTGGTGTACTGTACAAATACTGCTATCTTTACTTAAACTCAGCATAAATGGGAAGTGATATCAAATGTTTTCAATAAACTCAGCATAAATGAGGAGTTACATCGGGTGTTTTAAATAAACTCTGAATAAATGAAATTGAAAAGTGGTATCATGGGTTACAAATAAACTCTGTATGTATATGAGGAGAGGTATCGAGTCTTCCGAATAAACTCAGCACTAAAGTACTAACAGATTTGGTGTATATACAATCACTGATGTGTTTAATGTTAGTTTTAACATTCTCGGCACAGTACATGATAAATATATGGTAAAGTGCTGTCTGCCCAGCCTTGTGAGTGTTTTCCGGGTCCTCCGGTTTCCTCCCACTATTAAAGACCCCTACCTGCAGGTGAATTATTGAAATAAAATTGAACAAAATATTGTCCTGAAATGACCTGGTTGGTGTTGAGTGGAGGTTAAAAGCCCATCCCTCTTTCTCTCTCTCTCTCTTTCTCTCTTTCTCTCTTGATAGTCTACCTTTTATTCAGTGTACATGTACACAACCAGTACAATTTATGATCAGAATAAATTTTGCCCGAACAGCGGGACTACGACCTACTCTTATATTGAATTCCAACTGTCAAGGGGGGGGGGGGACCTCAGTTTTTCATGCCATCTGAACAACTAGGCACCCTTATTTGAACTTACAACTATCAAGGATTCCGCGCGTACACAGGGCCTAGGTTTTTTGTCCCATCCGAACAGCTAGACATATCGTTGTCAGACCCTCTGTCCTGCACCACATCAGAATTATTTATAACTTGGATAATTTATGATCTGGTTGATTGAGTTGAATCACATTAATTATTTACAGCTAACCAAGCTTCAAGTTTTTTTGTGTTTTTTTGAAAGGCTAAATCTATTTGTTAAGGCCAGCTCAAGGTCGCTGAGATGTAAATAAGGTTAGGGCATGTGATTGTTGGCGGGATTGTAGGTTAGGGTTAGGTTTGGGGTAAGCATTTGGGTTAGGTTCAGGGTTAGGTTTAAGAATTTGGGGGAGAGGTTAAGTCTCCACATAAGCACTGACCTAGGATGATGAAAATTTGGTTCGTGATATTTCCTAGTTTTATTAAAAATACATGCAATACATAGATTAATATACCTGGTTGGTTTCGCTTTTCTTTGGTGTTGGTGGCGCTGATGGTCTTCCTTCGGTGTCGATTGTGGTAAAGAAAAAAGAATAAATTTAAGGCTCGCGGGTTGTGATTAGCGCTAGCCCTGTTTACAGCTCGTGACCTATGACGAAAAATTGAGTTGGCCTTATCATTTAGCACTAACCATTTTTAAGCCCATCATTTTCAATACATTGTTGTTTCATATAATACAGTGATTCTCAACCAGTGTCCCACAAGGTCTTCCTAGGTGTTCCATGAAATTGTGAAAAAAACATGTGATCCCAATTGAGTATTTACTGGTGTCTACTGATAGTTCATATTTGTGTTTTTCTTTATTTAGTTTGAGTCATTCTATGTGTCTATGACTAGTCTCTGTCTACGGTTGTATTCCGTCTGATTTACCATGTTTTTATTGCAAAATTCAAATATTTTTCATATATGTATGTACATGTAGCCAGGTGTGCCGTTATTTTTTCATGTGTTCCAAAGTGTGCCGTTGGCATAAAAAGGTTGAGAACCACTGATATAATGTATATATTGGACTTGGACTCCTGTTTTACTGAATGTGTGATAACTACTATATTGATTATTGTTTATTATTTATGTCAGGTAATATTAAATAGGTTTATCTCTAGTCTATATCATTAGCTGCAAGCTGAATTATTAACTAGTGTATATACATCAACCTGTCGCAAGTGTTTTTAACACTATTGTTCTTCACATGTCACAGCACACCTGCCGCAAGTGTTATAAAAAAAACTATTGTTCATTACATATTACAGCGCACCTGACGCAAGAGAGAGAAATGGCGTCTTAAGTTCACACAAACTAGGTGATCATTTACTTAGACTCCAATGTGTACACAGGACCTCAGTTTTTCGTACCATCCGAACAACTAGACAACTGTCCCTATCAGACCCTCCGTCCTGCATCACTGACAAGGGGAAACCACATCGGAAACAAGGAGTGGTATCATCAGGTATTAGGAATAAACTCAAGAATGCACCTAAAATCTGATTAACAATAGTACCAGTAACTGTGTCAGACATTAAGACAGACCATTTGCTACCAATGGAGATTATAAAGATGATAATGACTGTACCGAGCTATCAGCTTTCCTTCAGGCACTTTCATCCTAATGTTTAGAGAAAGCAATACAAGCTTTATCTTTAGATCCAAATATACATACATACTGAACTTAGGCTGTCTGTCTACAATTAGCTCCGCTTGAGAAAAGACACTAAGCTGGTTGGCCGACATTTTA